AAAAATATACCTGCTACTATATCTAGAAGCATAACTAGATCTGTACATACGTCATGACATGGAATGGAAATGTATATTATCTAATCCTAGGGAAATATAACCTTATTTCTATTTCTGTCCCCATATCATCAGCATAAATAGGTAACTTTATAATTTAATTTGTCCCAACTGATTTCTATCCATTTTGATGTGTCCAAAAAATCTCAACAACCAAAAGAAGGAAGGAAGAAAAGGCATCCTGTGAGTTTAAGCATCATTATTTTTCTGTTATAATGGGCAATATCAAATAGTTATATGCTACAGCCAGCTCATACAGGCTTACAAGAATACATTTGTAAATTTGAAAACCAGTTGTTAAGCACAGCCATTATCAAAAATTTAGTTATATAAACTAAATAAATTACAGTGAAAATAAAGGGAATAAATACTCTAACCTTATCACTTCCTAATTATTTTAATACATTTTACCATTATGTATGCTTTTAGGGTTATTCATCTTAATTATGTCTTTGTGGTCGAAATATGGAAATACTCTATAATGGTATCTTACTATCTCTTCTCAACTCTACATTCACTGATATCACACTGGTACCTTGAAACTGGCCGTGGTGGAAGTATTTATACCATAAAAATTAGCAAATGCAAGAAATCACGTTGTTTTTGCAAAGTATGGAGGCATAGCTATTAAACATTCACCAGAACACGATTGTATATAGAGTATAATATATGACTAAAATATATTATAAATGTATTTTTGTCATGTTCTTAAATATTGAAAGTAGTTTTTGGAGACTAAACTTTCAAAATGCTTCAAAGAGTTAATTTCTAAATGTGTAGTCCAACTATACTCAAGAAGGAAAAAAGAGTACTTTGGCAGGTTCAGTGAGAAATCAATAAAACATCCTGCCTTCCAGCCCAGACTTGACTCATTACATTGCATTCCATTAATTGTCAAAAATAACTGTCAGCATATATTTTCAATCATTTGATGAATTAATGCATTACATGTGGAACTTTTACTAACAGAATTAAGAAAATTCCCACAAGAGCACACAGAAACGTGCATGCTACAAAATACAAGAAATAACAGCTCCTTCAAACTCACATTCCTACTATACTCATCACTTTTGTTTTTCAAAAAAATACTTTATTTACCTGATCCAGACTTTTATTGAGCTGACTGGAATAATGGGTGGAGAATTTTGCCTACAAAATCTAAATTGCTTTACATAAAAAAGAATATAGCTCTACTTGGGAGAAAATAGTAAGAAAAAAAGTGCTCTGGAAGAACGCCTGGTAATGTCATAGGCTAGAGTTTTGAGAATTACAGGGAAAGAAATTTGAGAAAAAGCTGCCACTGTGAGTGGGACTTCAGGGAGGGAGATATAAAACATTTTTTGAATTTAATAGTAATATAATAATAAACATTTATTTATTGTTCATTATGTACCAGGTACTATCATAAGTGGCTTACATATATGATTTCAATTTAATCCTCACAACAACCCTGTAAGGTATTAATATAATCTTAGCATTCTCCACTTTACACAGGAGAAAACGATGGAACACAGATGGTAAGGACCTTGCCTGAGGCCAATCTGTTAAAAAGCAGCAGAGTTGAATTCATAATCAGGCAGTCTGGCTCTGAGCTCATTCATCTAACTATTATCCTATAGATAGTTCACTTACAAAATATGCTTTATTGCCATCTCAGAAATATTTACAGAAAACATCAACAAAGACATTTTGCTTTCTAAAACTTTTGTAATTGAGATTTGTGTTTCTTTTAGTCATGTTAGCACATTGGAACTGGCCTCATGGCCTCATAAGCAAAAGTAAAAGATTCTGAAAACTGGGACAGTGGCATTTAAAGAAAATTAAATATAAAATGAATTGCGCTACTTAATGTTCTATGGCTAAGAGCTGAAAATTCAGCAAAATTTGTATTGCAATATGCAGTTTTTACAATTTATAGGTATACAATTTTGCACATCCAAAACCTTCACAAATGCTATAATACTCTTCTTTTAATAATAGGAGTTATAAGGGGAAAACCTTGTATTCTGGATAAGACTCAAGAAATATAAATTCAAAGTTTATTTTGCATTAGGTAAGAACTCATGAAAAATGAAGCCTAACCTTTCTAGGCATACGCTGTCGTTGGGAAATCATCCACTTAAGTTGGTTGTGGCCAAAAGCCCAGGGTCTATGACATGCACCTAAAGGTTTATGTCCTGTAAATGCTGTAATTTAATTAAGTGGCTACTCCATTTAAGCATTAGCTGCAGAGAACCCATTAAAGTCCAGAGGGACAGTAAGAGATGAACCTGCACTCAGAAAAAAAGCAGAGTAGAATAATCACCTGAGATTGGAATCTCTGCCTCTTGCCCCATCCTCTTCCACACTCTCAAATTCTTTCAGCCTTTGTCTATAGAGGGGAATGATATTTCATCCAATCTGAGACATTATTAATTTTTAGATGTACCACTGGTTCATGTAGAGCTAATTTTTTAAAAAAACAACCAATTAAACTGACATAATGCTTTCTTATAATTTAGAATTCTTATTTTATACTTGTCAGAAAATTTAGACATGAAGACATATGTTCCTTCATTAAAGGAAAATAGAACAAAAAATAAATTGGGAAGGGAATTTCTTCTTCACAGAATCTTACTCTTTTGTATCATTTTCAACAAAAAATCATTGATAGCTTTGTTTTCCCATAAAGTACCACCTTCAGTGCCATCCAGAGCTTTGGTAATGCTCTTACAATAGAGCCCAATATTGTCTTTGGGGTCTTCTTCCAAGCTTCTGACATTCCTTAAGTTTGGGTGCTGGTGCTTTCTTAATTTTAATTGATGCCAAAATGTAATAGTTTAAGTAACAATCAGGACGTGTAAGCCTTCCTATTAAGGTCCTTAAATAGTTTATGACAGAGTGATTGCGACATTGAGGGTTTTATTTGCCATATTTTACAGAAGCAACAGGCAAGGTCAAGCATGGACAGGTAATAACACATCATCACTTCCACCTGACCAGACTCCTTTTTAAGATTCCATCAATTGCAAGACACATCCCATTTCAGAAAAGTTAAAATGAAGAAAATGTGCGGCTTAGAATCAATAAAATTAAGTGTTCAAGCTGCTTTAAATTAAATTGGGCAAGCCACGTTAGAAGTTTTGACACAATTCCTTAGTCCTTAGACTGCTGATTAATTTAATCTGTCTGTGTGACTTTCCCTTTCATAAGCACACTGGCCTTCCCATCCTCATCATCCGTTATGTGGGAGTCACCTACCTTGCCCTCAATGGCTGAGTCTAAAGAGTTTGTAATGTCAGCAAAGTTTGCTTTCTCAGTGTCCCCTCCCTTGCCTGGAGTACACTCTGTAAAGCCTGTCTTGTTCTCTCAGAAAAGGATCCAATTTTTTTTATACCAAGTAGTAAAACACACAATAAAATACTATCCTACTTAAAGTTGAAGAATACAAGTTCTAAAATGCCTTCTCTAGAATCACAGGACGGATGTGTTTCAGAATACTTATATTTTTTTAGTTTTACAAAGATAATATGACACATAGCATATCTTATGTAACCCCAATGGGGTCTAGAGTGGCACCCTGTAACCAAACCTGTTAATATTTCTGTACTGAAATGCATGAATAGTAACACTAAGAAGGATAAAGACTATTGTAATAGAAAAATCTGAGGCACAATAAAATTGTAAAGAGTTTATTTGAGTAAGAAGCAATTCATGAATTGGGGAACACCAGACCAAAAGAGGTTTAGTGTTCCAGTGATTAAGAGTTAGAGGCAAATATTTACAGGGTGAATGCAGAAACAAAGAAAGTATTTGATTGGTTGCAGTGACAAAATTGTCTTTTCTGGTTTACCTTGTTGAAAAGTCCCTAGTCACATAATCATATGTTAGTTGGCTGCTCATGATTGGCTGAGGTTAAGTTTTGCTTCCGTATAACATAAGCATTTACCAGAAATGATCCAAATTAAGTTTCACTTATGTTTGCAGTTTAAGCAAAGCTAAGGCTATTTTGGTTTTGTCTGCTCAGGAATTCTTCAGGCCCAGTCTTCATTTCAAATTTGCTTTAACCCCGTAAACGACGTCCCTCAGATACAAGATGGATTTTGCTACCAACTTAGATCATATCAGGTGATTTTTGCCATCAAGTGAGTTACACAAACATGTTAGTTTTCCAAGCTAATGGAATTCAGAATTGCAGATATGGTGTTGTGGACGTATAGTAGGCATAAAAAATCCAGTTTTCACGTAGACTTTTAGGCACACGCTAGAAGGTGAGTGATATTTTAGAAGGATGAAGGAAATGGCAGGTTGTCTCAGTTCCCTGGGAATCATCACATGGGGAGAAATGGAAGACATTCATGCATAAGGTCTGCCATGCTGCCCAGAGAGATTTCCTCACTGCATACTCTTCCTCCGTAAATGTCCTTATCTCAGTAAGTGGTATCATGAACCATCCAGTTGCTCAAGACAACCACCTTTTTATTGTCCTTGATTTCTTTCTCATCCTTCCTCATAAAACCTATTGTGAAGTCTTATCAACTCTGCTTCCAGAGGATGCCCTTGTGGGGCCTCTATGTGATAGAGCCTGTGTAACATCTCTTTCCATCTCCATATCTACTATCTCAATCCAAGCCACAGCATGTCTTCTCTGAATTGACATAACCACCCAATCAGTCTTCTGTTTCTACTCTTTCCTCCCTGCCACCATTCTCCATGCAGCAACCAGGGTAATCTGGTCGAAAATCAGATGATCTCATCTCCCTGCTTAAAAAAATCCCAAAACTCTCACCATGACCAACAACGCTTTCCATGGCCCAGTTTGTTTCTCCTCCCACACTCCTTCCTTCATTACTGTGCATTATTTACCCTCCTTGGTTTTCTTTCTGTTCTGCAAATCAACACGCTCCTTCCTCCATTAGCACTTCTGCATTTTCTGTTTCCTCGAGGGTGCAGTTGGAGACGCTCGTCCCAAGACGCTTTGACTTGCTGACTCCTTCTCCGCCTTTAGCTGTCAGCACAGATATCAGTTCCTCTGCCAGGACTTCCCTGGTTCCCAATTTGAAGCACATCTAATTCCTAATCTCTCGAGGTATGAGTCTGGTTGATTTTCTTCAAAGTACTTATCATCACTTGAAGTTATCTTGGCGAATTATTTGTTTACTTATTTACTGGCCCGTGTCTCTGCCTTCTAGAACTTAAGCTCCACAAGGCAAGGACTGTTCTCCATTGTCTTTCCTCCCTCCAGACTTTTGCCTGGCAGATAGCAGAAGCTCATTAAATATATTTGAAATGATTCAAGGAAAGCCAAGTAATTGATAGTTTAACATGTTAATTCTATTATTGCAGACATTCAAATTACTAGTGTTCCTGGTTCACCTAGGTTGTGCTCAAACAAATAGGAGTAGTCTATGGATATTTAAAAGGATGATGATGTGTCCAGAATACCAGAGCATGGAGATATTTTTGGTTAATTTGATATTTTGGCTACCTAAACCAGTACTATGGGTCTATAATTTGGATTACATCTAATGAGTGATTTCTATAAGCTATAGTTGCTGTAGGTATATGTGTGTGTAAATATATATATATATGCATATATATTAACATTTTTAAATATTATTTTATCCTTCTATCAACTCTGAGAAGATTAAGTGACTTTCCCAGTATTTCATAATTTCATAAAATTGTGGCATTTAGATTGAATCTCAGATTCCTTAAAGTCCAAACCTAAGGAAATGAATGTCATCACTTAATTTACATTGAAACAATTTGCAAATTTGACTTTCTTTTGATGTTTCAAATGCAATTATGAAAATATTCCCATTCTATAGAAAATTTAAAAAATAGTTATTTGAGCTCTGTGGGTTTTCAAGAATAGGAAGAGTGAGTTAAATGTTCTGGTATAATATTTGTAAGAATACTAACCCTCTTTTGGTGAAGAAAAACCAGATTATGTACCAGGATAAAACAGTTTTATACAATTCAATTGAAACTATAAAAAGAGGATGTATTGCCACCAAATTGGTAGAGACAAGTCACCTGAATAGACCAACAGGGTGATCAAGATGGGAGTTCAAACTATCTCATGGGCTATTTATGCAGCTATATCAGGCTGTCCTATTATATTGAACTAAATAACATTTTCTCTCTCTTATTTTCTCATTTCTTTATTATGTTGCAATAAAGTGTATGTTTCCTCAAAAATAACATTCACACCCCAAAAAATAGAATTTTAAATAAAAAAAGTTGTCTTGAGGTTTTATTTTCAATTCTTCCTGTCAACACTTCTTCTTAATGCTGACTATATTTGGTGAAACTTCTTTTGTAAGTGTGTAATGACCCTTTCAGCTGTAATTGTCTGTGTTAATATTAACAACTAAAGTCTGGGGTGTGATTGTAAATGACTTTTCATATGCCAAAAGTATTTTATTTTTTGAAGGTCAAATCTTTTTTTAATTGACCAATTACAACTGTTTATATTTATTGTATACAATGTGTTGTTTTGAAATATGTATATATGTGGAATGACTAAATTGAGCAAATTAACATACATATTATTACTTCCCATGCATATCTTTTTATGTGTAGGGAGAATCTTAAAATCTACTCTCTTTGTGATTTTCAAGAATACAATGCATTGTTATTAACTATAGTCACCATGTTGTAAAATAAGTCTGTTGAACTTATTCCTCCTATCTAACTGGAATTTTATATCCTTAGACCAACATCTCCCCAACCCCTGCCCCCAACCTTTGGTAACCACCATTCTACTCTCTACTTCCAAACCCTTCTTTAATGGCTGGCTTTTCACAATGGCTATAATCATTCCATAAAGCAACTTAAAAGAAGTCATTTCCAAAAACATTACCTAAATTGATTTTAAAATACAGTTGTTTTTAATTATAAAAACCAATACATACTAAATATAGAAAATTTAGGACTTCCAAATAATTATTCAAAACATTTGTGTCTCCTCGGTTTTTCTAAGGAATCTTAAAATGCCAAGAATAAAAATTGATATTTTAAAAGGCACAAGAGAAAAAAAATCTAAACAATCCAGATATAAGTTTCATGTCCACATAAAAATTATTGCATCCATAGTCATAACCCTAGAGGAAAAAAATGCATATCTAAAAATTATTTAATAGTTGTATTGACCTTATTATACAATGATACTATCATGCACCAACCACTGTACTTCAGTGATTCTCAGTAACTTCATTTTACTAGATCTATGTTTCCCTATTTCTCAGTCTCCTTTGAGACCACTACACATTGCAGAGAAAGCTATCTTTGCAAGAGGCACGGTTTGTGACTGATGCAGAGAATGTCAGTCAGTCTGAATGGGACTTATTTTGAGTCCTAACCAATTGATTGAAAGAGGGAAGACTGGAATTTATCCAGCACCTCCCATAAACTAGGCTATATCTTTTACCAGCATTTCAAGAAACAGGATTGGAGGCTCAACTCCTAAAGTTCCTCCATAGTGAGAGTCCCATTGACATTCATTATTGCATTTAATTCTCTTAATAACCCTGTCTGTTAGGTTCTGTTATAGTTCTCATGTTACACATAAAGATACCGAAGCTCAAACTAACCAGTCAGTGGTAGGCAAGGGTTTGAACCAGAGGTTCATTCTATTATATTTATCATATTGCCTTTCCAAACACTGGATAACTGAGAAATTTATAAAGAGAATTTAAAAGAGCAAAGATAATGATTTTTAGTAATTTTATGTCCAAAGACGCAAGAGAAAGGGTGTTTGTTTCCATGTGTGTAGAGAGAGACAGAGAAGATAGATACACAGGTGGTTTTGGTAGAAAATACCAAGTTTTAAGAACAAATATAAAAAATGTAAATATAAAGATCAGAAGGATTAATGCTATGATTGCTTACTCAGAAAAGAGGATTTTTCCCTGTAAATTTCATTACTTGAAATCATTTCTCCACAGGTATTTAGATCATCCTTTATTCATATTAAAGGAAATTAATTGCTTTCCATTTCAATTTATTTTTTCTTCAAGTTACCCAGTATTTTCCCAAATATTATAGATTCATGCTTCATAGACACGATTAGCTTTAGAAGTAACTTAAATTAATGGCAAGAAAGGGAATGAAAGGATTAAGAGTTTGAATTTTTCATTTTGGATCACCTGGATTCTCATCAACTGTATTTCATGTTTCTGTCCTGTAAAATGGAAGTTGTAACAATTAAATGAGAAGATACAAATAAAGTACTTAAGATATCTGATAAACTTTAAATTACAGCTTTTACATCAAAATAAGATGTAAAAGTGAGTGTTAAAATGCCTTAGATAACAAAGCTACTTCAATCATCAACGATTTATATTACACCTGCATTGGATTGTTCAATCAATTCTCCAGTGAAGAAAGTATTGATTGCCATAATCTCTAAATTTTCAAATAATAAGGATTTGTTAAAGATGAATGATATTCTATAGGTACAAATGTTACTTGCCTCTTGATCTTAAAACCACCTGCCAAACCACACATGAATCACTTGATTTAGTCATTTGAAGTGTCAAACCAGCATCACACAGTCTAACAGCATCCTTAATGTTGTACATTAAAATATTTACTCATAGAAACGCAACATAGGCTCATGATAAGTATTTTCCTTTATGTACAGCATGAAATATAGACATTTTGAAAATCTGAGAAAAATTATAGTGCAAGCATAAGGATGATATAATTGAAGAATTATTGCCTAGGATTTTAAGAATAAAACTCCATTGCCCCAAGTAACAGGCCCAAAGCAGCTAGCAATTAGCGATACAGAGCAAAGCATTCTTTAACTGCTTTATAACTTCTAGCTATTACTTGCCTGAAAGTGCCCAAATCTGCTGATGATTGGGCATATCAAATTTAGAATGAATATGTGGCAGATTCCACTCTTAGGACCTGTGGAATCTGGGTGGAGATTCGGATTGCCAACATTTCTCAGCTGGTTTTGCTGTATGTGCTACTAGAGCTGTACATGATTTGTGGAGCTCTGCTTACAGCTTAAGGATTGTAACATGTACATGGTACGTGTTTTCATTGCTCTGTGCAATTACCTCTTACCTGAGAAAAGTTTTGTTCTTGTTCTTTCAGTAATAAAGGAGTTACTTTAGGCCTAAAGAGATTTCAGAGATATAGGTATGATAGCATAATGTGATCTCTATGAGACAGAGACATTGACTCGTTTGTTAATACCCAGAATATGTGCTCAATAAGTGTCTGTTGACTGACTGGGTGAGTGAAGAAATGAATAAGGCAAAGCCTTAGGTAGGAAAAAGAAAAAAAAAAAAGACTCTGTGTATAGGTGGAAAAGAAGAAAGAATTAGGTGCCTCTTAGATTAGTAGAACAATGTGGTGTCCAAAGGTATAGGAAATTAAATACTCAACTAATTCAACACACATTTATAATCACCTTCATGTGTGAGTTCACCGTTTTCCACATTTTAGTCATTTGTTTAGCTCCTACACAATTTGCCCTATTTGAGCAGCACCTATGTGTTATTTTTCTTTAAATGAACCTTAAATCAACTCACCTTTTGTAAATGTGTCCCGCTCTGCACAGTATTACCTGCCAGATGGTGGGTTTGATGCTCTCCTAGTGCTTCTCACACTTTGATGCAAGCTCGAGTCATCTGGGACAAAGCTAAACTGAAGATTCTGATGCCATCGGCCTGGGGCGGGGCCATTTCTGCATTTCTCACAAAGCTGAGAACCACACTTTGAATATCAAGATGCCACATATATATTCTGATAAACACTTAAATACTTAACTAGGAACATTTAAAAAATTTATCTTTATATCATGTAAAATCACTTTTCATATACCCTATCAGTGATAAATCTAATGATATAAATGCAGACTCTGCTGAAGTTGAAAGAATAATTAAATGTCCTTTACTTTCAGGGAATTCACTGCCAAGAAGAAAGACATTAAATAATTATGTAAGAAACCAAGGTAACTTACACTGTGGGCTATTACAGAGCTCTGTACAAAATGCTCTGAGAAAATCCTAGAAATCTGGGGAAGACACTGGCAGAAGTGTGTCTCTGAGCATGACAGAGGGTCAGGGGATCCCAGAACATAGGCTGTCTCCCCCCTGCCCCTATGGTTGTGAAGCCTGTGCCCCATACAGCGGACCCCCAGCCACGGGCTGCATGAACGTGCCACTTGCCCATCTATGTGCATCAGCCTAGAGGAGAAACATCATTTTGCAACCCTCCACTCCCAGATGGGGAAAGCTTTTCTGGAATTTATCTTTCTAAAAGAGGCTTCCTCTTCTTATCCATCTTCCTGGAGTGGCTTCTTTATTCTAATTTGTACCAACATCATAGAGCGGCTGCCCTGAACTATCTCCTTCCTACCCAAAACCATTCACTTTCATTTAGCATCACACAATCTAAATTATGAGCATGATTTCTTACCAAGTGGGTTTCAATTCCCTTCTCTTTTTCCAACTTTCTTTCCCATTAGGAAAAGGTAAGAGAATGGATAGTTTAGGTGGGGTTAGGGGAAGATGAAAAAGCTCTAGTCAAGCTCTCAGAGATTCCTGGCCTGGTCTCAGTATTCTTTGTATTTACTCTGTGTTATAGGCAGAATAATGGCTCCCCCAAAGTTGTCCAGTTTCTAATCCCCGAAACAACAAATATGCGGTATTACATGAGAAAATAAAATTAAAGTTGCAGATGGAAATAATGTAGCTGATTGAGCTTAAAATAGGGAGAGTATCTTGGAATATCCAGGTAAGTCAACCATAATCACAAGCTTCCTTGAAAGTGGAAGATGGAGACAGGAGAGGAGGTCAGAATGATGTGATATGAAAAGGACTTCGCACACTTTGACTGGGGAAGGGGCCACAAGCTAAGGACTGCAGGCAACCTCCAGAAATCCTAGCACCTCCAAAAGTAGCACAGCCCCCCCTACACCTTGATTTTAGCAGTCAGACTCCTGTCAGACTGCTGACCTACAAAACTAAAAGGTAATAAATTTGTGTTGTTTTAAGCCACTAAGTTTGTGGCAATTTGAAGCAGCAGCAATAAGAAACTCATGCAACCTCTCTCTAGACTCAGAGACCTCTCTGTTTTGCCTCTTTTTGTTTCCAGGATACTACTCTTTCCCAGCTACATCTCTTACTTTTCCTTCACGGTCTCTTTTGCTGGCTTCTTTTTATTATCCCCCAAAATTGGTTCTTTCCCAGGTTATACAGTTAGTTTTCTCACTCTACAGGAATTACAAATTTGCTGAACATGGCCCAGACTCAGATTTCAGATATGTTTTATTTGGCCTACGTGGTATTTTTTCACAAGCCAAATTGAAATGCATTTAGGCAAGACATGCATCCTCGCAGGGACACAATTCATACTACTCCACACTGCATTTTACCTGGCCTGCTTCCCTGATTGACATTATGGGCTTCATCCTTAAAGGTTTGGAATCGAGGCTCCTTCTCCTAAAACATTAATGTGTACTAAATGTTAAGATGTTATATTAAGAAAGATTCTTGGATCACATGGGTTTAGGAAATGCCAAGCTAGACACAATTAGGTCCTTATATGTCAAGAATTAGCAGCCTTAATTATGCTAATTATCGTATATCTATGTAGATAGAGCATATACATGTATAGATATGTAGCATGCAGCATTTCCCAAGCTTTATGGAACCTTAACTAGTGAAGCATCTTATAGGTTGGTTGTTCTGAATATATACATTGAGACATGTTGTTCAATACTCTCATTTCATCTTTTCCCATTACTGCTACCATCACCCATACCTTTTTTACTTCCCAAAGCTGTAAATAAAGCAAATACTTACAAAGCATGAGTTACACGATACACGCTGTTGTAAGTACTTTCATACATATACGCTGGTTTATAACGCTGATATGATAATAGGCACTTTTATTATCTCTGTATTGCAGGTGAAGAAACTAAGACCTAGAGAAATTATGTTCCCAGTGGCACACAGCTATAAAGTTACAAAGCTGCAGTTTGATCCCAACTCATCTTGTTTCTGAGTCTGGGCACTGAAGCCCCCCTATATCTAGCACTTGCTCTGCTCTTGAGCTAGAGGTGTGGGTCCAGTACGTGATAACACTTTCTGCCAAAGATCACTGAAAATATAACGAGCCACCTCAGATCAGGTGGAATTCACTGCCCACGGAGATGTTCACAGAGAGGTTGGAGGACTTCTTGTAAGGAAGTTTCATGAAAGGCACAAATACAAAAGACATCAAACCCAACTGTAAAGTCCTTTCCAAATGGGAGATTGTAACAGGATATGAGAGTCTGTTCTGGATGGGAAGATAACGTGAGCAAAGGCTCTGAATATTTTCAGGGAGTAGACCCGCCTGGCTGGTATGAAAAATTCATGGAGAAAAGTACTTTCAAGCAATGCTGCAAAGATTCACTGCATTGATTGTGGAAGTCCTTCAATGTCAGCAAAACAGGAGTTTGGTCTTAATCCTTTGGGGAACCCTGAAAAGTCGCTCCTCGGGAAAGTGATAAAGTTTTTGTTGGTTTTGTTTGGGGGGGGATTGTTTGTTTTTCTGGAGGGATTTATACAAAGGATTTGAAGGAAATTAATCAGATGAAAATATTTGTCTACCCAAGGACGACCTAGTCAAGTCTCGTTTACATCTTCTCTTCCTCCCTGTCCCACCAGGTGGCGCCAGAACTCAAAATCAGGACTCTCTAAAAGGTTGCCTCACTGTTCTGATCCTTTATTGTAGGATAACTCCTATAAAGACATCTGTGATGTGAGCATATCAAAAAATATTTTTATTGCCAATTCCTAATATGCCTTTTCATTCACCCTGGGGTACTTTTCCAGTAGTTAATTTTCAGCTTAACCGAATGTAACGTTCTGAAGAAGAGCTTCTGGGGACCATGCCAGTTCAGAGAATGTTTGTAGACCAACATAATAAACAAGACATCCTGCAAGAAAATGCTAATGACCAGCTGGAAGTTGATACGGTGGAATTTATTCGACCCCTGATGACTTCAATATGGGGGAGCTGTTCTAGTTCACAGGACAAGGAGGATTTTTAGCTGGCCGGTTAAATTACCTCCTTGACACTTTAGTTAGAACGTGGAAGGGGGTGAAAGCCTGAGCCAACTTATGACCTAATTCTTCAGAAAAGAAATGCGAGAGTCCAGCACTTTGCCCCCTGCTTCCTCTCTGACTGCCTTTTCACGATATAAACTAGTTTACACTGCAGAGGGCTCGCTCCCTCACAAATTTCTTAATTGGAACTTGTTTCCTTAATGTCACAGTCCTGGCTATGTTTTGTTTTTTTAAAAGAATGGAGGGTAAGTAAGCTAACAATTTGTTGGAAGCTTAGTGTTTTCACAGATCTACACAAAAAGCAATCATTCCTGGTCACTTGTAAATATGTACCTAGTGACAAAAAGACCCATAAATCAAGTGTATTTTAAACATCTAAGACTAGTTCCTCTGATTCAAATGGCATGTCGCCCAAATCACAGGTAAGTGGACACATGGCATTTTTCCCTAAATCCTTCAAACTGAAATTCAAGGAGGAAACACAAAGTTAGTGAACATGTCACAAAAGGAGCATTGTTTAAAGATAAAGAGGCTTTTGTGTAAATACCATAGGCTCAATTTCCCCCATTCTAGAGAAAGAGGAAAAAAAAAAAAAAAGGATGTATGTATTTTACTTAACTTTGTTTACTTGAAATTTTTACGTTTTAGCTTTTCCAAACCTGATTCTTCTAAAATGGGCAGCAGAAGAGAGAGACTAATATAGATGATAGACTTATGGATGTGGATAAATAATTAATGGCCTAGAGTAATTAGCTGGAAGATGTTTAATCATTAATTTGTCTGAGTCATCAAAAGCATTTGAGCCTATCCATAAAATGTTCTACTATTCATGAGTACATATATTTTGTCAAGATGGAAATTAATATAAGAATAGAATCAGCACTTTGAAAAATTAAAATATGAGACAAGTCTATTTGGTCTATTCTTTGTTAAAGATAAACAAAATTTTGCTTTTCTTTATTTTACCTAATAAGAAAAAAGTTGTATAAATTCTATCTGTATAAATAACCAAGAAGTCAAACTTCTTGGTTAGGAAGGCAAAGAAGTTGGCTAGTTTTGTCTTTGTTTAGGGACTTCTTCAGGGGTTGGAGGAATAAAGCCAAAAACACTTCATTATTAAAGTGTCTGGTGAACAATTAGGGTTCTTTCAGAGGATTTAAGGGAAAAAGGTCCTTTAACATAATGCTAAGTTTTGCAATTTATGACTGTGTTCTTCAATGTGGTGTTTTCCAATACAGTTTTATTACAGCCCCTAAATTATACTTTCACAGGAAAGGTCTGTCTTTAAACTTTTAGGTCAGAATTGTTCAGATCTTTTCACACTGAATCAATCAGGTTTAAAGCTGGCAAAATCCTTGGCAGCCTTGTAAATCTTTCAAAAGATGTTATCCAATTACCCTTCATGGGCCACAGGATTCTACAGCGTGACTATTTCCTTCTCTATGAGGAATTAAGTGCTCATGAGAGGTTAGAAACCAATGGAGTCGAAAAGTAAGGTTCTGCATTTTTCTTCCAGTTCACGTGGTGTAGATATATCTATAGCTATGAATATATCCTGAGATCTACCATTCATTCTGACCTAAACAGTGGCCTTGGCATCATTGAAGTTTGAATTGTTTTAAATTAGCAAACAGAAAAAAATTAAAATAACACCAGAATGGTTCCTGTTACAAAATATTATTTTGGACTTGTATTAAGAATTTAACCTAAAAATATATTCCAAATGGAAAGCGTAAGAGATCACTATTACTCTTAGTTGTTTTTTCAAGAAAAACATTTTTAGGTACAGTCAATAAATACACATGGGATTGAAAAAGAAAATAACAAAGAAGATAAATGCACTGCTTTGGTCTGAGTTTTGATCTTCTAAAAAATGTGCTTATTTTCCATTTAAAAAACACATATTAATCTCTGTTAGTTCTTCCTCCACTGGGTTGCCAATATAGAATACTAATAAAAGGCTAAGGAGACATTCAATTTATATAAAAGCCTATTTCATGCCACTTGGTTTCAAGGGGGAAAATAATCATGGGCAGAATCATTTGGAAATAATTTTTCAAGGAAAAATGTGAACATGCATATAGATTCCTTCACAGAAGTTAGAAAAGCACTGCTTTCTTTTGTGATGTAAAAGGTGGAGTGGAGGTTATGGGATTCCAGCTGCACCTTTGACCTCAGGTCTCTTGAGTCACTCACTTGTCATGACCTTTGACCTTTGGCAAATCGTGACCCTATCTGTTCTACCTACAACAAAAGGTCTTTTCCTCTCTGGAACACATAAGCAGAAGTCATATAAATGTTTGGAAATAGTTTGTCAGCCAACAATCAGGCAAAGAGAGGATAAATATAAAAAAATATATATGAGAAAGGAAAATATTCTAACATTTAAAGTTTCCTCCAGTAATGTAGATGGATTTCAGTAACTGTAATGTCAACTCTTGGCCTCATGTTCCCTCTTTTAAAATCTTTGCTTACTTTGATTTAAAATGTGATGCAGCAAGAGGTAGAAAGGTTGGTGCTTTTATAAATTATATTTCTAGTACTTTACACTCCGGTCACTAAAAATTACATATATCACGTCAGAGCTGTGTGTTATCAACACCTCCTTTTTACCGCTATCTATATTGCTTTCATCTCTGAAGAAATGAAATTCCTCTTATCAAGATTGTGAGTGAAAGGTAAATAAGTGTAAACATTGGGAGTGAAATGTAGTATGGAGCAAGTCAAGTACAGATGAGGAAACCAGGTTTGTAAAAATGTACATAGATGCCCTCTGGCATCAATATCTATAGAAATTGAATATTCAGTTACTTAATATATATAATTGAATATTCAGTTACTTAATATATATAATAATAAGGTAAGTCTCAAATCTCATTTAGTCTTTATAATAATATCAACTGTTACAGATCTATTCAATGCATACTACTGATAGGTAACAAAAGACTTGAGTTTTCACAAGTTTTCCTTTCTAATACTCAAGTTTGTTGGCTTGCTTGTTTTAAGCGAGTAATAGGGAAAAAATAGCTTAAAGATAAACATTAATAAAAGTGTCTAGAAGGTTCGACACAATGAAGGATGAGGTGTGCCTTTTCACCAAGATGAGAATGAATGGAATCTCTTGAATTGTAATACTTAAGGATTTGTCTAGTTAAGGAATACTTTTATGGTTATTTATTGCTCTGCCAGCATGGAGATTCTTATTTTTGCTTTTTGCATCAAGATAGTAGTATTTTAATATTTACTTTCAGGACAGTTTTATTTTTAGCTATTTCCACTGGCTTTTTAGCATTCATTCACAACCCACTTTTTTCTCTCTGGAAATTTCTCCTTCTCTGAGGCTCAAAAGAAGTGTTTAATACTTTGAAAATACAGTGAAAATTGGCACATTAATGAAGTTAGTTTAGGTGAGCCAAATACTTGGTTCAATCAGAATTTAGAAGGAAAATTAAGAGCTTGCCAACTAAATACTCAAGTCTAGTGAAAACCTTTGCAACAAAGATTTTCAATGTTTGTCATCCATTTTTAAAGCGCTGGAAACAAAATCTCTTCTAAAAATCTTATACAAATCTGTTTATATAAGTATGTCTGCAATCTACAATTATTGTGAGAGCTGGACAGAAAGGATTCGATAAAAAGATGTCCAACGATTAAAATATTATCTTTCCTGAGTTAGAGGTAGGGTAAATTGAATGAGCTGAAAAGTGTTGATGAGAAGAGTATTAACGAGTGCCCAGCCTGTGACATACTACTCTGTCTAAATGTACTTTTTCCTGATTTTCACATCTGTCACCACAATATCAAAAATCTCCCACAGCAGTCAAAATTCTTTCCCCTCCCAGATCCCAGCTAAGAGTCCTGTGGCTTCAAATTAAAACTCTCAGAATTTAGTTTTCATTAACCTTTCCACTGGAATATTTATGACTTCCTGTAGAGCTAGGCTTCAGTAGCATTAACCATATGGAAATTCAGGGGAATTTGTTACTTTCTTACCTGAAAATGTTTTTAGGTGTGAAAGTTGAGTTGGTAGAAAATAAACTGATTCCCGAATGTCTCTGAAATCTGCAGCACACGTGATTTGAATAAGGTAACTAAATGGTGAACATTATCCATGTTTAAATTTTTTCCCCTACGTTAAACCATTTGAATGATGTTATTATTGACTTTCTCCTTCGCCTTAAGAGATGGGGTCTAGAGTTTTTATAGTCATGATAAAAAAAAAAAAAAAGATGAATAATACTATGTGAGAGAATAAACAAACAAATTTCACTTTAGGTTTTACAAGGCTAATGCTGACAGGAATATTTTTAAAACCCCTTTGATGGCAGTGTGTATCTGCTATGGGCTTTCCCCCGAGCAAGGTAATTTTGAAATGCAAAATATCACTCTCACTGCCCTCCCCTCTGCCCACCCACCCTGACCTTCTAGCCCCCCGTCCTGGTCAAGATCTTCCAATGGCCATCCATTCAGATAGTGCAGGTTTTCTCAACTATCAGATAATTCTTTGTTGTGGGGGCCTGTCAGTGTACATTAACACATCTCGGAATTTCATTATTTGGGAAAAGGTAGATGTGTCAATTATCCATTTATTGCCTCTAAGCTCCAAATTCATTCTTCACCGCTCTGCTTTGTAATACTGGAGTTCAAACCCCTAAGAATTTTTTTTTTTCTTTTTTGCCAGCTAGCACCATGTTAATCTTTGTCCATAGAAGATGTCAGAGGAGAGACAGTAGGAGAGGAGCAGACTTCTCTTGACTTTGGTGGCTTCCTCTCTTCTTGCCCCTAAGGTGTGGCTACTAGAAGCTTGTGTCTAAGAGGTCAGGTGGCACATGCCCTCTAGCCAGTTTTGCTTGGACGCCAGTGGAAGGCGTTCAGAATGCCAGACCCCACGCAGGTCTCCAAACTCAGCAGCCTCAGTCGGCTGTCCATGGATCAGATTTGGCCAGTGAACTTCCCTGCTGTTCAGTAATTCCAGCCACTATGAATTTGGACACCAGTGAAGGCTGAAGCTCCCCCTGGGAGAGGATGTCCCCTCCAAGTGTATTCCTTCACTGGGTACTATCTTTCAGCCTTGTGTATTCTCTGAGTTCTCTTTTATCTCCTCTTAGTGACTACTCACCTGCTTACAGTCAATAATTCCTTACATTAAATATTCTAGGTTAAATTATGTGGGTAGATTCTGTTTCTTTCCTGGACTCTGTTGGGTAGAGTAGACCACTGAGTAAGAAGTTTGAATACATAAACACAAACACACAAACACAGTCTTATTTCAAGAATATTATGCCTTCCTAAGCTGCAAATGTTCAAAGCAGGGCTTTTTAAGGACCTGCTGTCATGATTAGAATCCAAGAAACAGAATTTTTCTGCCGGATGCAACCCAAGACGTTACCCAGGCACTCGTTTTCCAGCTGAGGCACCCCGGTCACCGAGAGGTTAAGTGACTTTATTTACTGAGTGGCAGAATGGATGTGAGACCAGAGGGGCATGCTGGGAAATGAAATGCCCCCCAGCCCCCTCTGAGAACTCTCTTCTTGGAGCATCATCAGATGACTCACTCACTGGCTTTTTTATGAGGACCCATGGGAGAGAGAAATTTCTCTCAAGTCTAAGTACCGGGAATAATTATGCCTCTTCTGAATGACTGTTCTGGTTTTAGCTCATGGACACTGTGAAACATGTAACTGCTTGTTTTCCATTTAGGATAGTGGCCAGAAAGCTCAGGGGCAAAGCTACGGCTGTCTCCTGGCAAGTAGGCAGCACCTCAGGACACTCACATCTTCACATCCCTGCTCCTCTAGCTTGGTCTCCGCTGCTTTCTACCCGACTCTTCCCTTTGCCTGATTGCCTTACCTATTTTTTATTATTGTTATACTATTATGTACATCAGACACTTAAAAACATCTATTTAAGAATAATAAGTTGGCTGTCAACAAAATATTGGAGTACAAATCTTCAGTTCTCCTGATGCTACTAACTCCAGTGTTCACTTCATTAGCGTTTGCTTACACTGACAAAGAATTTAAATACTTCAATCTTCCCAAGCATGGCTGCACCTCAGAGGCCCAAGAGCAATGCATTCAGATATTTCAAATTTTCCCCTGCCACCTGCTTACTTAATGAATATATTTAATAAATTTTAATTTCATATCCTAATAATAAAAATATTTAGCTGAGGCTTTATCAACTTTTACATAGCTTTTTCAAGGCAAATTGATAAAATCTGATTATCACAAAGCTGGCCATAGGCTCAGAAAAGATAGACTTTTAATTTTTCTTATTTCTTTATTAACAGTCATTTAGCAATATTCCATGAAATGTAGGGGGAAAAATGTTTAGTTGTTTTTATTTATTTATCTTTTTACTCTTGTGCTCTCATTATTTTTTCCCTTGCTGAATAAGCAACTTTCTTTTTTGTGTCTCTCTAGGATGGTAGGAGCTGGCTCTTCAATACCTTATTTATACCTGGATTCCCTCATGTTTCCACACTTCTGCAGTCCGACTTCTACAGTTATCATTTATCACAGGCAGTGACTCATACCTTGTAGGGGCAAAATAAATATTTGCAGAATAAATCCTCAGAGTTGCTACCCAAAATGGGAAATGTTGAAAACAAAGCAGCAATCACAGAAAATAAAGTAACTGCAGCTGTGGAAATACAGAAACTACATGAAATTCCTGCTTTTCTGCTCATAATTCCACCACAGAGAAGATTTTGTTTCTCTTACACCAAAGCTGAAAAACAATATACTTTTGGCTTCATCTGATTTCAAAGAATAAATTTTAAACAATATGTTTCTTGCTTTCCTGTACTTCAGGGAAAATGCAGCACTCAATGCCATTGATAAGTATTTTTCTTTTTGTGTAAGTACCTATGTAGAATTTGTCAAAGTTTTAATATAAGTATCCTTGATACACATCAGAAAACCTTCCATGAAGCAAAGTCAGGCAAAAAAAAACCTTACAGACCAATGAAATGGGGTAAATTCTGAGAAATGGGCCACAGAAACAAATAATGGAAACAAACAAGGAAGAAGTTAAAATGCACCAATACGGAGCTAATGCCTCAGCTCTGCTATTGTTGTAACCAGGACATTATGAGACGTCCTCTTCCTTTGTTCTCTTATTTAACCCTAAATATGGTTCGTAGACAGTGGGTCAGTGTCCTTTTGACCATCAGATTTTTCCTTTATTTCAGAAAATATGAGATCAATTTTCCATGTGATTCAGTTGGGTTATTGGGTTATTGCCCTTTATGCCTCCAAACATAAGTCTTTGATCTCCAGTGATAAAGCCTGCGTTTCTCACAGGGCCCGTCCAGGATGACTAGCTCAACCGAATCAATGAGAAATGAACCCTTATCTTTGAACAGCTAAGTTCCTCATGGAACTGGGCTAAAAGAAATCAAAATAGACACAGGAATTATAAAAGACATATTTCAAATACCACATCCTATCGGGAGATATTTACTAAAACAGGCTACTAGGTTTTCAGATGTATACCAGTCTTGAAAGCAAGTTGTTTTTGAAATGATTAACAGGAAACTATGCTTGTGTTTTCCAGCATTCTCAATCATGTGAAAGTTTCTGGTTAACGCTTGTAAGACATTTGAACAAAAACAGTCTTTTCCTGAAGTTTGCAAACCTTTGGTTGAGGAAAGCATATATATTATAAGTGTAAGTTCTCCTGGCACTGGGATATACGACCAGGAATATAAAAGGCAGTGGTATAGGCAAAACAGAGCTAGCCAGGTATGTACACAGATAGGATCCCTGGGGACAAGAGACACTGTTGGGATGTGCCACAGTTGTATCTGCTCTTGCCCTGTGTGGTCATCTCACTTCTGATAAGATGTGGAATCCTTGGGTAATTAAATCAGGACTCTAACGACTGAAGCACTTGTCACTGGCATTAGCAGAGGCATTGACCCTTCAGTATGCAATAGCTGAGCTTCCCCTTGACAACCACAAAAGTTCCTCAAAGGCCGTTGGCAGAAGAATGTGAGCAAGTAAACAGGAAGAGAAGTATGGCCTGCACAGTACTTAGCAATACAAATGTGACAATGCCTATTGCTATTTTTGACTCATGCAGAACTACAGTGGGAATTAGGCAGCATGGAAAAAGCTATGGCTTTAGTGTGCTTAGTTTAGGGGTGAAGGTGGAGATAAGGGTTGGTGCAGTTAAAAATAAATGATTCTGTTGCCATGGTTTCCTTCTTTATAAATTCTTTTCAACATGAATTGCTGTTGTGGTGGTTAATTTTAGATTCATGCAGATTTTTGACAAATAAGAATTCCTATACATCTGAGAAATGGTTTTTTAAAAGCTGTAGGAAAAGGTTTTTGGCAGTCTGGTTTAAGCATTTCTAAGCAAAATAACCTGCGGGGTTCTGGCTTTTAGACAACTACCAAAGGAAAGTGAATAAAGAGAATGAGAACTAAGTGAACATGTAAGACTGAATTTATCCTTCTGATTAAAACATAACTTCATATCAGCACAACATTTAAGGGCATGTTGAGTATGGAGGACTCTCTCTCAGAGTCATAGGAAGACAGATGTACCTCCTACAGAGTAACTCATTTGACAATACACCCTTAAAAGATTTCAAGTACCAAATGTTAATTTAGATAAATATGTATTTACTAATTTCAACACTATAATAAAACCACTATAATTATGTTTTTAAAATCTATCATATTACCTCAAATACAATTCAGTTTTCGAATAGAATGTCACAATTACTTATAATTTATACCTGCTCTAAAATACCTATGTTTCACTTTTTAAAAATTTAATAATGGAGATCTCAAATTTGGAAAACATAAATGAAAGGAAGAGTTGACTTTTCCAAAGAAACTGTTTATTCTTTATGCATTTATTACAGGATTGTTTAAATAGGGACATAATTAAAATAGGACTTGATTTTTGAAAAGAAAAGAAAGAGGCTGGGCACGAGGGCTCACACCTGTAATCCGAGCGCTTTGGGAGGCTGAGGCAGGAGGATTGCTTAAGGCAAGGAGTTTGAGGTTACACTGAGTTATGATCACGCCACTGGGCTTCAGCCTGGGTGACAGAGAAAACTTTGTCTCTAAAAAGAATAAAGAAAAAGGAAAGAATAAAATTACCTGCACAGAAATGCATTATGATACAGTTACACTGTGAACAGTGGATACTAAAATGTTAGTAAATGCTTATTTCAAACCTATATTTAATGGTGAAAGCTTCATAGTATTTTAAATTTTGGGTTTTTTGCTGCTTGTTTTCTTTTTCTAAGGATTTTGTGATTAATCATGAGAATCTAGCAAAATGAAAAATTTAGAAGTTAGAATGACTTAATTTAAGACACTAAAGGATGGAATTCGTGATAACTGAAAGAAAATGAGTGAACCATATTTGTCTCTATAAACTTATTTTCTAATTCTGTTACTCTGATTTATTATAGTAATTAATCAATTATTTTGTTAATTGTACGTTTAGTCTTTAGTCACACTACTTCTATTTTTGCTAAATTAAAGAAAACCCTAAAAACTCAGAAAATAAAAAGTGATCCTTGTGGTATTTTAGTTCAATTAAAGTTGATACAGAAGTTAGTGATATTTCTCTTGATATATACTAAACTTAAATTTACACATAACAATTTTAGAGGAGTATTATGTATGTGTGTGTGTGTGTGTGTGTCTTTGTGTGTTTTGCAGGAGGATAGGAGATTTTATTAAGACATTTCAAGTAATAGTACAGACATTGCCCAATTTGATGGGATAATTATATCAATGTCTACTTCCGTCTGTAAGTATGAGAGGACTGCCTCGTGTTTTATTCTATTTCTATAGTATAAAAATAAGACCAAAAATGTCAAAATTCGGGTGTTGGGAAATTTCCATAGATCAAGGCTACTCTCAAGAATGGACTTTTTCAAGTGTCTATTTTTTCTAGAAATATGTCTGGGAGTTGGGAAGGCCAGGGACATACTTCTTTGATTTGCTCTGAGCTTTACTTACAGCTGACTTGGAAGAACAGCTTACCAGGTTCTTCTTGATGGCAGCTTGTCTCTGTCCTGAAACTAAAAATCCCATGGGCATTTGGCCTGAAACACAACCCCAGGAGTTCTGTGGCTATTGACTGATTTGGCTTTGCTATGGCATGGCAGACTAGTGTAGACTGGTCTTTCTACCAAGAATAACTAGAAAAGCTTGACAAAATACTTTTTTAATAATCTGCTTGAAAGTTTTAGAGAGCTAGCAGAGTAGCCCAGACATAAAAGGGCCAACATCCTAAAAAATGGGGAAATTCATTGAGATGAGCCTTATATTTTATGCTACTTTTCCCCTTAATCTATCTGCCCATCGTACGCAGCATAGAAATAAAGGTGGAGAAGTTTAGAAGAATGTGCGTTTAAAGAGGCAGAAAAGCTGAGCAGTTTCCTGCAGTCTCACAGAACAGGGGAGCCAAAAACTGTAATCCAGGCCCTGAGGGGCCATGACCTTGGGGAGAAGGTTAGCACGGAGAAATTAACTGAACAATCCGAGCCCAGACCCAGAAAGACAACTTTATGACCAAAACAGATGTTGATGTAATAGAGATAATGAAGTTATGAGGCACTGACTAGAAAATAACTCAAACAAGTACTTGACACAATGAGGAATTTCATTTGAAAACAGAAATCTATTCAAAGAAAGAATCATATGAAATTTCTAGAACTAAAAATTATAAAGAATGCCATCGATAGGCATAAAAACAAGTTCAACACATCGGAAGAAAAGACAATGATCTGGAAAAGAGGTCAGTAGAAAAAATATCCAGATTAAAGTATGGAGAGAACAAAGCTAGAAAATAGAGAAAACAGACTAAGAGAATGTGGGAGAAGATGCCAAAATCTAATAACACGTGTGATTAACGTTCCAAAGGGGAACAAAGAACTAAACATAAGTAAACAACATTTGAAGGGATAGTAGTCAAGAATTCTTTAAAACCAATAAAAGCTATCAAGCCACAGATTAAAAAGGCAAAATGAACTCAAGGCAGGATAAATACAAAAGAAAAACACATCTAGGTAAATCTGCTGGAAACAAAAGAAAAGAGATAACCTTCAAGGCAGCCAGGGAAAAAATTATAAGCTTTTACTTTCAAGGAGAAAAAAAAATTTCTATAGCAAATTTCTCAACAGAAATAAATGAAGCCAGAAAACAATGAATACTATCTTTCAAGTTGAAAGAAAAACCCTGCCAATCGAGAAATCTATACTGAGTGATAATAGTCTTCTAAAATGAAGATAAAGACATTTCTATGCAAACTAAAACTCTAACAGTGCTGTCAACAGACCTGCAAACAAGAAATATTAAAGTAACTTTTTCAAGCAAAATGAAGATTACAACAGAAGCAAAGAAATACAAGAAAGAATAAAAAGCAATGAAATCTTAAATACATAAGTAAATCTAAATAAATACTGAATGAAATGCTTATAATTTTACCTTTTATGCTAAAAATATTTATAGAATTAACATGCATGATAACAATAACCCAAAAAGGGATAATAATAACCCAAAAAGGGGTGACAATAAGTGTTGTTAAAGTGGTCTGAGATCCCTATATAGTCTAAGAAGTGATAAAGATATAATTTGTATTAGACTCTTATAGGTCAAGAATGCA